GAGGGGCGGCGGGGGGGGGGGGGGGGGGGGATGACAGAAATTAAATTGAGAACCACTGCTATACTGTAATATTTCTTTCTATTTTTAGACAATTCTCTCTAATCGTAATCTTCTATTGTTCCATGTTGACATCTTAGAACATCAAACATTGTTTACATAGCTGTGGCCCATTTCGCTGACCTTGCTGACCACAATATAAATCTTCTTAACTGTCACGTGCGGGCATCGCAGGAAGCAGGCAGGACCCAAATGCAGTACTGGAGAGACTCTTTCTGGTGCAGGTAGTTTTATTTACAAAGTCCAAATTAACGAAACACAAAGAACTAACAGGCATGGAATTCTCTTTGGAACACGAGGAAACACGGAACACGGAACACGAGGAAACACAGAGTAGGAAACTCACGAACACAAACAGCCTGACAGAACAAACTGAACAATGATCCAAGAACACTCAGAATCACACTGCTCTAACACAATCACAAGTCACAGTCACAATGATCCAACCTGACAGAGTGAGGGAGAGGAGTATATATACACAGGGAACACCAGGTGACACAAGTGAAGCTAATTACCAACAGGTGAGTGTGATCCCACAGATTACCCCACAAAGACAACAGGAAAACACGGAAACAGACAGACATGACATTAACTTCAACATTTTTTACATACTGCTGTATAAAAACCTTGTTTTACTGCTTTTTAAATATTTCTCTGTTCTATTTTATAGTGTTCAGACCATAGTAACATTTTGATATGTACTTTGGGGTGAAAATACTCTCAATAAAAAAAAATAATTGAAACATTTTAACCCTCTTGTTGTCCTCATATTCTGTATACACCCCGTGTCCTCTGGGTCAAACTGACCCGTCTTCACTAAACCTTCAATATAAGCAGCTTAATTGAAACACCAAATCTTATTTTGCTTGAAGAAACTACCTAAGTTTTCTCTCTTCACCTGGCAGAAAGACTGCATTTAAGATACACCACCTGTTGCTATGACACTGTCAATTGTATTATTGTTTACTGTATAGGTGGTAAGCAATATTTGTATAGTATTTCTAAAGCTTAAGAAAGAATAGAAATGTGCAAAAAGGAGTTTTGAATGCCAAGATTAGCAGCCCAAAGTAGGCATGCAGGTCAGTCTCATCCATCTTTTTTCAGCTGTCCCCATACTCTCCAGGTTTCTCATCTCCAGGATTATTTTTTCTATTACTGGTGTGATGAACAGATAGAGTGTTGAGACAATGTCATGGGCATGAGAAATGGCATATCTTGTGTGTCCTGGGGTCATCCTCATGACATTTTGTTGTGCCGTCCTGCCGTGTTTGTCATATGCTGCCAAGGACCATGTTGTTTTGACGTTTTTTGAAAGGAAAGTCTCTCGCACAGCTTCAGGGATTTCTTTTTTTCTTTCTTCTGATGATTCATCATGCTCTGGGTTGTATTCCTCCCCATCTTCCTCTTCTGAATCAGGGTTGTCTCGTTGGACATCTGAAAAAATCAGCTCTAGAGCCTGTTCAATCTTATAACGCACACTCATGGCTTCAGCACAGAGAGAATTTGGGGTACTGTCATCTGTAGCACCTTTATAGCCTCTGGGAGTCCACACAGACAAAGGGGTAATATTGTTACATTTGGGTCAGATCGGGTCACTCAGGCAGTGCAGTCCGCAAGAAGACCACCTGTCTTGTCTTGTTTACGTCTGCTACTGATTGATCTGAGACAGAACTAAAACATTCTCACATTCTGGGGTGTGTAACTATGTGACTGTGATTTCAACTTAATTTGACTGTCGGGTCATTTTGACCCGAAGACAATATTTGTACCTTTTTTTGTACAGCTTACATGGAAATATAAATAAAGGCAACAATTCACTTTTTCTAATGTTGGGGTCAAATTTAGGAAAAAATATCGTTTAGGGGATTTTGTTTTTAACACAGTGGCGGGTCATTTTGACCCGAGGTCAACAGGAGGGTTAAGCAGTAATAGTGTGCCTACTGTTTAAATTACATTACTATACTACTGTATATTATACTATACAATGGACTATACATTCATGGGCGTTCCCCCAGCAGTCTAGGTCTACAGCAGCATAACTGAGGAATAACTCAGGTTTATTTGAGCCAGCCTTACAAATAAGAGAGTTGGAATCCTACTCTGAACATATAGAGGGTGTTAGCCTCCTGAACAAACACTGGCAGCTGGTTCCAAAAGAGAGAAGCCTGAATGCTCTGCCTCCCATGCTACTACTCTGGGAACTGTGAGCAGAGTGTTTTCAGAGTGATCCCATTGCCTGGTCCTTAACTGCATGTGAGGAGGAGGATTTCAAAGTCTATCCTAGATTTTACAGGAAGCCAGTGATGATAAACAAAGAGGGGACGGGGGTGGGGGAGCAAACATCAAACACAAGCCAGACTTGGAAAGACCGGGCCGGTTCATGTGAAGACCGACAGACAGACGGACAGACGGACACGTACGTTACTGTAGCATGTGTGTTCAGCAGCTTGTCCTTTGAGCCAGGCATGGAGAAAGACCCGACACCTGTCAGCTCCGCTCCGTCTGAGAGACACAACAGTGAAGACAGGACACAGGGTGGACATTGTTCAGGGAAAACATCATCATCATCATCATCATCATCATCATCATCATCATCATCATCATCATCATCATCATCATCATCATCATCATCATCATCATCATCATCATCATCATCATCATCATCATCATCCTTCAAAATGTGTGGATCTGTAATACTCTTAAGTACAGTATAATTACCATTTATACCAGAATAATTCTCACCATCTTTCCATTTAAATTAAAACTGCTACGGGGCGTATTGACCAAATGGTTTATTAAAATTGCGCACAATATCGCCAACCTTCAAAGACCATTTTAAATTCATACACTAACAACGTTCGCACACTTACTAAATATGCAATAAAAACTCTAAGCAGCTATTTGGAAACTCACTCTAACCTCCATTTTCTTACTTTGTCAACTTCTTACAGTCAGTCAACGATTTTCCCAGTGTGGGATCAATCATTTTTAAAGTAATTTATGCGGTGATATGATATGCTATGCTATAATTTTCCCAGTGTGGGATCAATAATTTTTAAAGTAATTTATGCTGTGATATATTATGCTATGCTATGCCACAAGATAAATTACTTTTCTTTTAAATTTCACTGTGTTCAGACTGTGACGTGACTTGTGCTATTTCTTTTAAATTTCACTGTGTTCAGACCACAGTGACGTCGTGATGTTATTTGTGCTTTTTGGTTAAAGTTCTGTTTCATTTTCTGAAAAAAGTTAAGAATAGATTAAAAATAAAACTTTTTTGTTTGAATACATTTTATTTTATTATAAGTACAGTTCAGTAGTTACAAAAACAAAGCATCTTTCATGAGGATACAGCAAAACAGAAAGAGTTGTTCAGCTCACAAGACAGTAGAGATTTTTTTTATTATTATTTTTTACGCATTTAAACATGTAGAGTGGAATGCTAATCATCATTATGATCATATTTATCATCAACACCTCTAGTCCATCACTATAGATGGTAAAGAGAACGGCAGAGCTCTGATTAGATGATGTCATATCTGCCCACCCCCCTCCCCCTGCTTTAATCCTTCCACATGTACACACCCTGTTATGTTTCCCTAACATAAGCAGTTTTTACTGCTGGTTTTACATTTAAATCATTTCATTTTCCTCCCAAATAAAAAAACAAAACAAAAAAGGAAATCCACATGTAAAAAATAAGGTAGAAATAAACACACAGAAACTACTCTGCAGCTTTTAGAAAGTAAGATTTTGAATCATGCTGCTGAAACAGGTTATTCTATACTGCAGGTCAAAAGGGAGATTTACATACAAAAAAACGTTTTTTTTTTTATAGCCACGTACATTATACAGGCTGGTAAAATTAAAAAATAAGAAGTAGTACTTGATATTTGGACCATTTATACTCATTAATATTTTTTTCCCCACAAAAAATGTGACAGTTCACGAAGCCAAGTGATGCACAAACACACACACACCTTCAGTTTAGTTAATTTTATACTGTATAGCTCGGATTTAGAATACTATCACAGTGCCAAATAATTCTCAGAAAAATTGAAAATTTAAACTTGAAATGAAGAAAAATCATATTATTCAAATGAATATTATTATTATTAATTATATTAATAATGGGTCATGTATATATATTTATATATATCTATATATGTGGGCAAATATGTTTGCAGCACAGAAGACGATTGTCATCTTTTTTTTTCATTTTCTTTTTAAATCAGTAAATGGAGAGAGAAAGAGAGTAATATTTTGTACAGTACATAGAAAATCCCAAAAAAATGAAAGAAAAAAACAAAAACAAAAAAAACAAATCAACCCTAAGTCCTACAGTCGAGCACAGAGCAACACAGCGTTTGCAGAAGAAGCAAGAACAGATCTGATCTAAGCCCAATATACACATGATTTCTCTTTTATACACTCTTTTTTTTGTTGTTAAATCTAATTTTAAAGTAAATAGTACAACAAAGCGATTTTTTTTTCAGTAGTCCTTAAAACTGTGCAACAACAGTATTTTACAAATGCCTGACACTCTCCAGGGTTTAAACGTCCGTGACAAAGAAAAAGAGAAAGTGTCAGAGCGGGAAAACACACACCTTTTCTTTTTGTTAATTTTTACTTTGAAATGACTCTCTATCCTGCAGGATGAGAACCGGGAAGATGATATCTGGGATTTTTTGTTGTTGTTTTGTTTCTATCTCTCTCTGTTTTTCCTGTTGTTTTTTTTTCTAAACTGCTGTCAATCTTTGTATGAACATCAAGATTCAGCAGCTCCTGGGGAGGAAACAAACAAGGCAGTAATAAGTGGAGTAAGTCCGGACCAGGTCTAAACCAGATCTTGACTAGGTCTCACATTTGACTCTTTACGATCAAAACATTCAGGTTAAATTAACCATTGAAATATGTGGGTTGTTGTACTTTTTTACAATTTTTTTTTTACCACAAGTAATACTGTAGTAAGAAGTAAGTAACATGCTTACAAGGTGAAGGAAATAACAACAATGCCAGAAACAAGAGGGGGATGTTTGGGGAAAGAAAAGCAAAGAAAGAAAGGGAGGGAAAGGAGAGGTGGAAGCAAGAAAGTAAGGAAAATGGAAGTTGAAATATTATTATTATCTTTACATATAAGATAATAAAAAGTGATTGTTAAGATTGGAGGAATGAAAGACAGGGAGAAAGAAGCATTGGATATAAGGAGAAGATAAAGATGACAGAAGAAACAAAACATTGCTTTAATCCTTCAACTTCACCTGAAAAAAACAAACAAACAAAAATAAACGTTCCTGCTTTTTCACTACTGTTTTTTTTTTAATTACCTGAAACATACTTTACAGCTTAGTTTGTTTGTTTTTCTTCTGTGATGTACAGTAACAGTAAATTTGAACATGACTTCTGTCACTTCACATGACGTAAGCACACCAGAGCTTTGATTAACTGAAGGGGGGAGGGACAGGAAGTACATGACTCTGTCCATCAGTCACTGTTTTCTGTTCTTACAGTAGGAGAGAATTCCAGTAACAACACACAGGAAGTGGCCTTTAGGTGGCAGCAAACAGAAGGTGACCACGTAAGAACTCCTGTTGAACAAACAAATTCAAACAAAAAAAAAAACATTTTAGGAAATGTTTTAGGAAAAGGAATGTATGTGTTGTTTTTTTTTTAAACAGGTAGTTTAATCAAAAACAAAAAATGATAAGACCAGGGCCACAGGAGACAAACATTAGTTTTAGTGTCCAAAAAAAACTCAAAGATGTTCATAATCGAACCCAAACTCTGTCCTGCATACAATTGTTCTCACTGTGATGGTAGTTTTGTGATTTTTTTTTTTTCATTTTAAATAAAGTCTTTTTAAATTTCTTCTTCATTCAGCGTTCTTCATCCTTCATTTACACATCTTTCACCTTCATGGCAGAGTTTCTTTTTTTTTTTTAACCCTCAACCTCGCCTCCATTTAAGCCATTTGAGTGATTGTTGAGATCACTGTCAGGGTGAAGGGTCAGTGTGGGGTCGGCGGTCATGGGGCGATCTTCGTCCTCTCCTCCCACCCACAGGTGAACTATGGCAAATGAGAAAAGAGAACAGACAGATTAGCATTACTAGCTAACATGCTAATAAAAAATATTGTTTTGAACCACTTACAAGATTTTTTAAAAAGATATTCCAAATACTATGAAATCGGCTAACAAACAAAGCAAAATGAGAATCAAGTACAAGAGTACACACACTCACACTTATTTGGGTTAATTCTTAATCTGTGCCTTTTTTTACTGCCAAATCCGACGTCACAGCGGCCACAGTAGTTGAAATCCTTTGTTAAGATTTACCTCAGTGACACTAACTCAAATATTCAAAAATATATCAAGAATATACAAATATAATTTGAGCGACAGCCACAAGTATGTTAACTGGTAATCGTAATGGTAAAATTAAGTTTAAATAGACAAGTAAGAAGCCTTGTTGCAAATGCTAACACTGAATTAAAATGGCGTTTATTTATTAAGTGACTAATAAAACGTCAAGCTATTTAACAAATTAAACTCCCATCCATCCATCCATTTTCATGCGTTTATCTGTTACCGGGTACATTTTCATCCGTTTATCTGTTACCGGGTATAATTTTGTAAAAATAGAAACTGATGATGAAAATTGAGCAACCATAGTGTTTAGTCTGTAAATCTGATTTTGCAGTGTAAGGCCACTATAACCACTAGATGGCAGACTCAAACAGGGGATAAATAAGCACTGAGCAGGAATTCACTCTAATCCCATTTTATCTTTTTCTACGTGAAACACGTTTCACTTGTTCTGTTCGTTTTTGTTATTTAATGTGTTTTAATTATTTTACATGTCATAGTAAAATAGAATAGCCTTCTACCTAGGATGTTTTTTAATAAATGTGGATAAAAACATATCTGTTTGTTCCAGAAGGAAAAACATTTCTACTTTAAACCCCAGACTCAGTTTTGACATAAATTACCTGAAGGTACCTTTCATAATATTTTGATCACGGCTGTGCACAGAAAAAGCACTATATTTGTTGCATGTGTTTACAAACTAAATGTTTTCACAAACGTATCTTATATGAATTTCCCCTGCGTTTGTTTTTTGGGGTTTCCAAAAAAAAATGGGAAAAGTAAAAAAAAAAAAAAAAAAAAACAAAGACAAAACTATGATTTTTATCATTGTCCAACAGTAATAATATGTATTAAATTCATAAATATACTCTCAGAGGTATCTGTTATGTTAAATGGGCAATATAAATATCTGGTATATTTAATTATACATATACACGTATTTTACACTAAATAAAATAAGGTAAATTCAATATAAATGGTAAAATTTGAAACGTTTTCAAATAACACCAATCATATCTACCGTAACCATATCTACCACAACTACAGCTGACACACAATAAAAAAGAATATTCCGTTTATTAAAAAAATATAATTTAACTTATCAGTTTATTTTAGTTCGACAAAATAACTTATCACTGCACGGTTGCAAATGCTGCTGTTTGCGACAATGACATAACGATTGTGCTGTGGAGTTGTCACGGACGGCAGATGTCAGCAGTGTTGTCGGACTGAAAGGATAGAAGAGATACCATCTTGTGGAGTGACACGTCACAGCTCCAGGAGACGATCTTTTCTTGTTCCATGTGACATGTTAGACAGGAGGCCTATATGTTTCTATATGTTTGAGTGCGTGCGTGAATGTGCGCGCGAAGCGGTGACAAAGAGAGAGATTGAATGAAGGTGATATCGGGGACTTCACCTTCAGACTCCAGAAGGTTCTGGGTCTAGTTTCCGGATTATAAACTGAAGCGTGTTTGTTGTCTTGGTTCTCTCAGTTTGGGTCTCAGCGTTGTTTTAAAAGTTTAATGCGGACGGTAGAGCATGGAGGTGGTGTAGCACCCGACGTAGGCCTGCCAAATTGTGCCTCTTGTATATTAATAGGAGCCAGGACCAAAGCAGGTAGAACCAGACATCACATGTAAGTAAGAGTATGCCAAGAGCACGTTAGCGCAACAAGATGAGCCAAGACCAAATTATTGTTCTCTGTTAACTGTGTCGGAACCTCAAATAAAAACTGTGACACTGACTGATGACTGTGACTAATGACAAGGGGGACCCCAATGGTACAGGTTGGATCGACAAGAAAAAGGCAGATGAGGGGGGAAAAAGCAACTCCAAAAAGGGAACATAGTTAGTTGTTTTGAAGAAAGAATCAAAAAGGTAAGATTAAAATCTGAGCAGATGTTCAAGCTTTCTGTGTTTGTCTTCCTCTCGTATTTCTGCCGTGTTTTCATAGTTTGTCAATAATATTACTTCATGAATGAATTTTGAGTTAATCTGATGGTAGGGATGTCCGATATTAGCTTTTTGCCGATATCCGATATTGTTCAAACACTTAATTTCCGATTCCAAAATGAACCAATACCGAAATAGTCATTTTCCACGAAAACTATTATTAGGTCACATGACATATCTCATGTCACAGATTGAACACACTACCCACATTTATTGTAATGCTTTACTAAAGGTATTCCACAAATTAGCATTGTCAGTACAAAATATATATTTTTAAAGCGATTCCAGCATATCTGGCGAAACCCAGGCGTTATTGGGTTTTCATTATCGGAAGAAAACCGATGTTACCTAATTATGCTAATATCGGGCAGATAATAGCTGTCGGCTGGTATAGTCAGACACCTCTAGCTGACATTAACCAAAAATATTTACCGTAACCTACCACTGAATGTTCTACGTACTACTTTAAATGTCATTCAAAAAAACTGAAACCTAATAATATTTATTGGAAAATGTATCAATCCAAACTGAATGTAAACCTGTAAAGATACGTTTGCGAAAACAATTCTGTTTTTATTTTTCTGTCTGTCTTCTCTCTGAGTGTCACTTAGAGTAAGTTTCTGGATAAAAACCCAAACACTGTGATGCGCAGATTTATCTTTTCTGCCTGAAAGCACTTTTCTTTCCTCTGTTCTCCAAATTACTTTCTTTCATATCTAATTATATTTGCTAATGATCTTCGGAGAGAATAATGGAACAAACTTGATCTATTACCTTCTTTTACCACATAAACACAAAGCGAGAAAAGGGAAAAATGAAGAGAAGTGTTTTTAATGTTTGTGATGAAGAAGGGAAAATGATGCTCAAACCCGAGGGGTCATTATTGGGGAAGAAGGTTCAAGTCGTCTCTCATCTTCTCTGACATTTTACTAATTTGAATGTGTGGAAATTATCAGAGAAGCTGGAGTTGACGTTAAAACACCTTTATTGTTTTTTTTTTTTCCAGGGTTTAAAAAAACCCTTTTTTTATTCTGAGGGGGTTGTTTTTTTGTTTTTTTTTAACTAACAAAGATCAGTTTGAGGAAGCTTAAACTCATATTTGTGTAAAAACATATTCATTGTGTAAAAATAAGACATGTTTGCGTATCAGGCTATTCGTTTTCTCTCTTATATCTGATATTTTATTCCATGTCTTTAATCCTACACACTTTTGATTTTCACATAAACTCAAACGTCAGTTTTATTCTGAAAGTCTGAAAGAGTTACTGATCATTTCAGGAGATTTTAAAGGGCACATTCACAGTTTTTAGTTTTGTTCTTTCTTTTTTTTAATTTAGTTTATACTCAGCAAGTTCATTACTACATCATAAACACACACGCACACAAAACAACACACATACTTATCAGGACCCACACATAATAATTTTTTCGCCCCTGTCTAATCTCCATTCCTTTTTGTGAGAATTGTTTCTTTTTCTATCTTGGTAAATTCCGCAGCCATTATGTGGACATTGTTGATAAATAAAAGGCCGCATTGTGTTCCGTCATCATCACTACCCTCTGCCTCCACCATCATCATCCTGCAGTCACAGGGCAAGTGGAACCAGTTCTGTGTGTGTCCGTGTGTATTTGTTGTGTTGCGTTGCCTTGGCATTTCCACAAATATCTCTCTTTTCAATTTTCTTGGAATTCTCGTCTTAGTGTCTAACTGGAAATGTGAATTTGTTGAGATCAATTGCCCTTTAAAGAAGAAAAAGAAAAAGTGAAAAAGCGAGAAGGCAAAGACTGAGATGAAAGTATTTCTAATGTATGAAAAACAAACTATGAGAGCGATATTGTCATCCTTACGATCAAACACGTTCGACCCTTCGGCCTAACTCGTTATTTACACACGTTCCTTTATGTAACGGTATGATTGCTTCGTAGAAAAATAATGTTGTTCGATTCATTTTTATCTACAAAAAAAAAAAAATTCTTGTGAGGTAGATGTGTGATGTGTCAAATGGTAAATATGAATACAGACTTCACAATATATGTATATATATATATACATATATATGTATATATACATATATATGTATATATATATATATATATACACACACACACCAAAAATAACCAAATAGTTATTTTTATATTACAATGATAATATCAATAATAATTATAATACTTAATACATAATTATTTTATTTTAATTATATTAAGTTTCTATTGTTGTTGTTGACAGATAAACTCATTTTGGTTCAGGGACCACATACAGCCTGAGTAGATGCCAAGTGGGCCACTACAATCATAGCATCTGCCTATAAAAAACTATTTTCATGTTTCCACCCTTTTCTATTCCTGCAAATAAGTCCAAGAACATTAGAAGCTATTTGTATTTCATAAAATATAATTTGAAAAACATCCACAAGAAAAGGAGTTTGTGCATTTTTTTTTACTTTCTAAGTTCATCAAGCGGGCTGGATTGAATCCCCTAGTGGGCCGGTTTGGGCCCGCCGGCCGTATGTCTAACACCACTGCTTGTACCAGAACTGCCCACGTGACAAAGACAGCAGAGATGGAGAGCAGGATGGAGGAATAAAGGTGAAGATAGAGTACGAATAATGTACAAAATGTACAAGAGAAAAGGCAGCAAATAGGGCAACAGTAGATGGAGCAATGTGCAGATATAGGCCAATTTGAAGTGAGGTCACAGCCTGAAGATGATTATCTAAACACAGGGGGCAGCAGTGAACCAACAGCT